ATACTTAAGTGTGCCACTATGCTGAATCTGCTTTCTCTTACGCAATTTTCTCTTAGTTATTACTACTAATTACTCTTTAAGCTCTCGCACGCAGGCCTTAATAAGGACGTTTTTATGCAGTATCTCTTTAGCCCCTTTTACAAGCTTTAAGAACCCCTCTTACACTATACTTAGTAATTATTAGAAGGAGTTACTTATAAGCTTAGATTAAGACCTAAACTTGTGTGTATTGCCTAGCGTCTTAGATTGCTATAGTGTTTTAGGTAGAGGTACTACTAGTAGGGTATTGTAACGACGCAGGCAAGAAGAGAGATATCTGGAATAGGTGTGAATCCGCTACGAGGCATATAGGAGTGCTGGGATGATAAGAACACCAGGATATATTCTCTACACCTATAGGTCTTGTACAAAAGGATATAGAAAAACTACTCTACAATGCTACAGTTCCTTGCTCCTTATATATAAGGGTTTGGTGGCAGTTTAGTGTGAGCTTATGCTATGCAACAAGGGCCATGGTCATAAGTCGCTAGAACTGTATCCTAGTGGTATCGGGTCACTGTTCGTAGAGCGTTGTTACAGGTATGCAGCCACACTTTAAGGCAATCTAACACTACCTATATATTAGTAGGAATAAGCCCTAATACCTTAAAGGCCTTTTAGTAGTTAACCTTTGTAAATATATTAAGGAACATATCCCTAAAGGCTAGTAGGAAGCCTTCCTTATTAATATAGAAGATGTGTTAGTGTGCTAAGTCTTAAATATATTAGGAGTACTTACGCTTTAATAGCAAGAAATAGACTATATTAAGTAGCTAGAGGATATATAATAAGTATAGTAGTATATAGATAGTAAGGATTTAGTTCTCTAGGTAATAGTCCTTAAACTCCTAGTTAAGATATCTCTTATAGCTGTCTAAGATAAGTAACCTATATACTCCTACCTAATATATCTTTATATACGTGTTAAAGTGCTTTAACTACTTAAGGCTAAGTATATTATTTATCTAACTATTCTTAGAGACTAAGAGCTTCTAATTGTAGGGTATATCTATCTCCTTATACTAGGCAGAGATATAGACGCGTCCTTTGTAGATAATAAAAGGCAGGGTTGCATACCTAGCAGCGCAGATGCTCTAGATAATGATAACCTACTCGCGATTGCCTGGCTAAACAAGCTCTAGCTAAGCACGTCTCTCTAAGCCTGTTACAACCTTTAAAGACAAAGCAATACCTATCTAGAACCTAGTTTTATTAAAGTTGTGTATATTATTGCTGCAAACACTATACTTAACTTAAGTATCCTCTACTAGCTTAAACTACATGCTAATTATCTTAGGATCTTCCTATAGTATCCTCTATCTATCCTTAGCTTAATTAAAGGCTATTTTAAGCTTATCTAAACGCGTTATAAGCCTGCTAGCCTATAGTTTACTAACAGGCTCTTCACTACGCACACTAAGTATCTTATTAGCTATATCTGCCACCTTATATAGCTAGGGCGCAAATCCTTACAAATTAAGGTTAAGTATATACTAGACAATTGTCTACTCCTCTAGTATAGTAAGTTTCTAGTAATTAGCGCGTATGTCTAGTTAAAACATAATATTGTAAAGGCAATTAGAGACCTGCTAATAAGGTACGTTCAACACTCTAGCAGCACTACAGATACTATAAAATTAGCTAGTATAGAAGGCCTAGATAGTAAGGATAACTCTACCTTCTCTAGTAGTACTCTAAAGTTGTTGTTGTTATGGCATGTTGTGTTAGGGTAAAAGGTGGTCGTGCTAAGAGAAAGTGGCTAGTTTAGTGATATGGCCGGCTTAGTGATAATCTACGTTATTCTAAAGTTGTTGTTATTAAGGTATATTATGTTAGGGTAAAAGGTAGTTGTGCTAAGAGAAAGTGGCTAGTTTAGTGATATGGCTGGCTTGGTGATAATCTACGTTACTAGTTAAGGAGCTAGAAGCAGAAACAAAAAAGCCTACCCTACCCATCCGCCAGCCTAGCCGCAACAGCGTTGCTTAGTTAACTCCAAACATTTTTGCAACTTGGCAGTATAACAAGTTATCTCTAGCTTCATGCAATTTTAAATATTCAATCGATTCTTGAATTAGATCCATGGTGGTGGAGTTGTGACGCGTTGAAGTTGTGGGTAAGCTAGTCCATATACTTTCCGCGCACATATAGTTCCCGCGCACCCCACCACGTCACTAGCACTCAGATTGGAGTCGTGATTTCTCAACAACAACGTTTATAATTGCCACTCTGTACACATAGACTGAAGCGTGAGTGCTGCTGCTGCTGCTGCTGCTTTTTGAGCTTCTTGTTCAGTTGAACGTGATGCCTGCTCAGCTTGTAATGCTGCTGCCCGATCAATAGCAGCCTTAATAGCTTCAACGTTGCTATAGCGCTCATTTGGGTTAACTTGAACACGTTTTCTTGAGCGGGTAACCCTAGTACTATCTAGTTGATATTTAAGTCGTTGATTCTCAGATTCAAGCCGAGCTGCGCGAGTGTTGGCTCTAGCAATAGCCTTGCCTGCCTTGCCAAGCATTAGGCGGGTGCTTCGTGAAAGAGATTCTGATAGAAGGAGTTGCTGCTGAGCCTTGTATAAGGCCTGTGAGCTCTGAGGCGTGGCAAAGACTGTATCTGATGCCTGAGGAGGTGGTGGAGGTGTAATAGGCCGGCCTGATACCTGAGATGAGTGTATTACGAGGCATGGGTTGTATGGGCATAGGCCAGCAGCCTTCCATCCGGCTCGTATGACTCTCTTAGATAGTCCTTCCTCTCTTGCTTTGTTATATGAGGTGACAAACCTCTCCTTCTTGATAGGTGCTGCGTCATCAAGTGCTGAGAGTGCTCGGATCTGACTACGGTAGTGGGTTTTGACGACAGAGAATGGAGCCAGATCCAGCGGCTGGAGGATGTGTGAGGCGTGAGGTGGGAGGTATAGAAGATAGATCTGATGCTGCCGGCAAGTCCACATAAAGTCAATAGGAGTGTGGGAGCCGTGGCCGTCCAATAGCAGTAGCCGCCACCCACCCTGT